GTGTGGGTTCTGCGTCTGAAGGCATGTACATGTGCCTTTGCACTAGCTCGTTCCTTGCCCACGCTTATGCTTACCTTCGATGTTGTTGGGCGTTCTGCAAGCTTCGTGTTTGATCGAGGACGAAGCAGGACACACTTCTCCAACGAGAACGGGTCGGATTCGAGGGCGAATCCTGCTCAACCGGGGGAGAATGATGAAGAATATATATATGTTTATTATTATTATTATTATTATTATTATTATTATTATTATTATTATTAGTATTTAATATTTATTTATATTTAATGACTTGGTGGACAAGATAGATTTTAGGGTTAGGATGTCTTATTTAAAGACCTCTCTTATTTTGTTATTGGGGAGTTGAATATTGAATGAAATAAGATATCGTGTTTTCTTTTGGGAGAGTATCCCGTGTTTTTGGAGAGAGTATCTCCTTGTATCGTTTATCCTTCCCATTCGTTCACGCTTTCGCTACATCAGGAACCGTACCAAAAAGTCGGTTTGGTCCGGTTCGGAGATTTTTATTTTTCGGTTCGGTATTCAGGACTATTGGGACGGTTCGGTTCGGTATGGTTTGGTTCGGATCTTCGTAGATTTTTTATTTTTTTAAATTATTTTTTAATGACTACCTAGTTATATTTTAATTTTTATATGCTTTAAAAAAACAACATTCTTCAATAATTCATCATATTGAAAATTTTATTTTGAAATCAATTCTAGAATAACTCAAAATTTTAGTTATTTTATTTTATATATGTTTAAATAAAACCAACATTCATTAGTACTTCCTCACATTAAGTAACTCTAAATTTTAAGTATAACTAAATTTGTGCAATTAATATTGAAAATTTAAAATTTAAATAAAATATAATATTTTTTATTAAAAAAATATTCTTTTAACTTTCATATTATATTAAATAATTATTTTATAATAGAAAAAATGCAATTGCAGATCACGTATTACTAAGCATGAAATTTAAGTGAAAGTTAATATTTATTACTATATTATATAAAATCAAAGTTGACATAAAATATATTAATAACACATCTAATGTTATAATTCGGTTCTTAATTTCGGTTCTTCGGTTCAGTACAGTACGGGACGGTTCGGTTCGGTTCGGTTCTACGGATATTTGTGAAATCTCCAGAACCGTACCAATTATCTTTTCGGTTTGGTTCAGTTCGAAGAAAGTCAAACGGTCAATGATTATTTTTAGGTTCGAAGTGATTTTGGTTCGATTTTTGGAACAGTTCGAATTCTTCGAGTCCCATACTCAGCCTTAACTGTAAGCCCCTGTTCTTGGTTTACTTAGATCTATTTGTGGCATCAAAATATGCTAATGATTCATACTGAAATTATTGCTAATGGTATTCATACTAACAAAATGGATCTTTCTTTATGCGGACATCTACACATATTTAATCATATGTTTAATGAGAATCTGAATGATCTAATTAGAAAATAAGCTAATACAAAATGGTACCATCCTTTCTATAAGCCCGACCATTTTTTACACCTCATTATATATTCTCTTTCTTTTATACACTGTCACATCAAAACATATTCTTTTATACACTATCCTCATTATCATTTTTACGACTCTGCCTAACCCTGACCAATCCCCACCTAGGTCAGTGCCTAGCGAGCGATTAGCACCTTTTAGAACCTTGAAAAATATTAATTAATTTTATCTTTATCATTATGCATAGCTTATAAATACATTTTCTAAATTATACTAATTAATATGATTAAATACCTTTTCAAAAAAATTATAATCTATAATTATTATACTTATTTTGCATGACTATTATTTTAATTTTATAATTATTGTACATTTTATATATAAAATTAAAATATGATTTTATTATATTTTGAAAAAAAAAATGTAGAAATAATTAAATGAACGCCTATGTGGCACTTGGATCACCTGATTAGCCACCTAAATCATCTAATCAGTCCAGGCATAACTAACTGTGCAACTGCTTGACCCGCCTAGACGGTGCTTAATAGCCAGAGTGTATAGAAGGACCACCCAAATAAAAATCGGGGCTCCTGAGGATGCAAAGCGCCTAGCCCGATTTTTATAGCTCGATTTTTAGAACACTGCTTGGATTGATCGACTAATACATAATTTTTTTCAAATCGAATGGACCGTTAAATTGCCCGGTTGGCTTTCATGCTTGAAGAATCCATTGGACACGTGATTTTTTCTGTACAAAAACAGAGAACAGGGGTAGAGACTATGCCCAGCTATTCTATTCTTTACAACTCAAAAATTTACAAATTTTCTAAAATGTGTTGATCGGTGCAAAATGACAATTATGCCCTCAAAACATCTCAATTCTTGAAT